CCGATACCACGGGTAGTTATTATTTATGTATTATATTATATAACTTCTAGCATTCCACAATTATAGAGCGGATTTCGTATGACTGTGCAACAGCACGGATCGCAATACGGACACGGCGCGACACGATCACGGAACCTCGCCTTCTAGGATTCCAAACACAAATAAAGATTTAACAATACATCACGGCTACGGCACGGTATGGACACAGTGTGAAATCCGCTCTATAAGTCATCCAGTCAGTGCTTACTGATTCCTTGCCGTAATTGCTCTTCACACTTGTCTGGGTTTGTTATCGTCAATCGGTTGAATACAAGTTTATGCCAAGAAGTTTCTAATGATAGCTTCTGACGAAAGTGTTTGATGTGACCAGAACCATCTTTGAAGTATGAAGCGCTTCCATGTCTCGCTTTTAAGTGGACCATCAATGGCATGTTATTGTCTCCTTGGGTATTGTCTCCATATAGCTCAATGTACATCTAAGAAATTGCAAAACAATTACAAYACATAAAAAATAGATTGAAACTCTTATGAGATAAATTAGAAAAAAGGAAAGCAAATATGACATTTAGCTACTTGTTGGTGTCCAACGGCCAGGGAATAGATTACTAGTGATAAGAAATGATGAGATCATCGCATTCCTTTCAAAACATTAGAATGTGAACAAGGCACAGATGGTGATCACGACCATCCTCAGTTTAACTCGAGGAGATTGTACCTCCGCTAATTTTTCTCTACTTTAACTCCATTATTCAAGAAGAAAAGGTGATATAGCAATTTGCAAGTGTTGAAACAAATGCAGCAATATCTCCTAAATTATTTTAACACCCTGARTGTTGGTCCCGTCTGGAAAAGAACCCCCTGACCAAACRCAAAATAGTCCGGTGTTCTACAAACTGAGATATGCGGTTGTTGGTATTAACGATCAAATTATTCATAGTCCTTATATCAATTCTCACCTTCAGAAGACGGACATTGTAGCACGTTTCACAGCTCTCTTCCATACCTAAATGTAATTTTGCTTTACCTCGATGAAGATCTTCAAAAAGCTAAAGATAAGACAAATTCGAACATTTTTCAAAAGTTTTTTGAACCATTTATGAACATTGTATAAATGACATTCTACTACAAAGCGCGAAGGTTCAACACAAAATCTCTTTTGTTACTTACTGCAGTGTGGTTTTCGTTGTTAAATTCCCACTTATGAATGCGATCAATATCCTCAAACTTAGTGAAACACTTCCGTGATCGGCTTTCGAGGTCATCAATTTCCTGAAGAGCATTGTTTAGTTGCACAACGCCCTGTAGTTGTCCATTGCCAGCAGCTGCTTCGCTCGCAGTCCGCTCAAAAGAAGCCAGCCTTTGAGTTTCATCCCATAGTGTACGGAACTCGAAACTTTTGTAAAACAAGTATAGATTTTTTGAAAAACTGGCTTCCATCTTCTGATAAGAAGTTAAGAGATTGTCAAGAAACATCTGTTGGACCTGGTCTTCCAATGGAGAATCTAGAAAAGAAGTTTATTGAGTCCAAAAATGTAACAGTAATGAGATGATTGCCTTGACATGAGACCGATGGGCATAGATTTCTGAACACTTACCTCCAACGTTTCGTAACATTTCAAGCTCACTTGCTGTCTCTTCCAAGTTTGGTATGTCAAAGTTGTATCCACCAATCTCATTGTCTAAATCGATGACCTTTGCGATCAGATCAATCCTTGCAGCTCCAGCGATAAAAAACCGTTCGAGCTGCTCTTTAAATTTTGCCACGGCGTTTGGTGGCAGACGCTCTTCAAGCAGGCACACGAGGTCTGCTGTGAGGCCCTCCTTATTCATTTCAAGATTAGCCTTCAAACAAAACAAATTTTTATGTTGTAAAAATTCATTTTTATTTTTTTTTTTTTTCATTTCTATTCTCTTATTCTTAACATCATGCATGTTACCTGCATCATTTCTGGCACTGATCCAACGTCCATTGTATCAAAATCAAGGTCGCTGGAATCCTCCAACTTCTGGTAAGCCTTACCAAAATTTAGCCAGTTTGTAAGATGACCCAGATTGTCCTGTAAGGTACCGGCGTTGCACTGTGTAGCAAAGTGTTCAGCTGTTTCAATAGCAGCACCAAGAGCTCCGAATGGATCATCTCCTGCGGCGGCACTGAGAAACCCAGTAGCGCCTTGAAGYACTGCAAACATGTCTTCCTGGGTGAATTGTGCTTGTTCGTTTACATCCGCCAGGAGCGCACGTGCTTGTGCCAAATAGCCGTCCATGCTTGATTCAAGTTCTTTGATGGCCTATAGGTGGAGAGATAGCTAGTTTAGGAAAAAGAGCTTGCACTTCCGCAACAAAAGTGATTGAAAAGAGACAACAAAAACCARAGCAAAAGACTATAGTGCGATAAGCAATGCACTAACCGGGACATAAGCCTCCTTCTCAGTGAGTGCAACTCTCCTGGCCTCTTCGAGTCTTTCTTTTTCTTTGGTAACTTGAATTTCAGCTGTCTGACGTGCTTGTACAATTTCGTTTGTATTTTCATCCCTCTCAATCGATGCTTGAAGTGTATTATAAGCAGTTTCATAATCTCTGCAGTAGTCTCGAATATTTACAACGTCATTTCTAAAAGCCTCCCATTTTAATAATGGGACAAAAAGCTTGTTCTTTCCAAATCGGTCAAAACCTGGTTTGTTCAGGAAAGCCAACCTGCGTTTTGCAACTAAAAAAAGTGYACTATGTTAAGTAAAGGAAAGCTTTAGCTTCAAATATTTCAAAAACGTACATCTTCGAAGCTCTGCAGCATCGTCCCTGCCTTGTGTCAATNTAAAACAAGTATAGATTTTTTGAAAAACTGGCTTCCATCTTCTGATAAGAAGTTAAGAGATTGTCAAGAAACATCTGTTGGACCTGGTCTTCCAATGGAGAATCTAGAAAAGAAGTTTATTGAGTCCAAAAATGTAACAGTAATGAGATGATTGCCTTGACATGAGACCGATGGGCATAGATTTCTGAACACTTACCTCCAACGTTTCGTAACATTTCAAGCTCACTTGCTGTCTCTTCCAAGTTTGGTATGTCAAAGTTGTATCCACCAATCTCATTGTCTAAATCGATGACCTTTGCGATCAGATCAATCCTTGCAGCTCCAGCGATAAAAAACCGTTCGAGCTGCTCTTTAAATTTTGCCACGGCGTTTGGTGGCAGACGCTCTTCAAGCAGGCACACGAGGTCTGCTGTGAGGCCCTCCTTATTCATTTCAAGATTAGCCTTCAAACAAAACAAATTTTTATGTTGTAAAAATTCATTTTTATTTTTTTTTTTTTTCATTTCTATTCTCTTATTCTTAACATCATGCATGTTACCTGCATCATTTCTGGCACTGATCCAACGTCCATTGTATCAAAATCAAGGTCGCTGGAATCCTCCAACTTCTGGTAAGCCTTACCAAAATTTAGCCAGTTTGTAAGATGACCCAGATTGTCCTGTAAGGTACCGGCGTTGCACTGTGTAGCAAAGTGTTCAGCTGTTTCAATAGCAGCACCAAGAGCTCCGAATGGATCATCTCCTGCGGCGGCACTGAGAAACCCAGTAGCGCCTTGAAGYACTGCAAACATGTCTTCCTGGGTGAATTGTGCTTGTTCGTTTACATCCGCCAGGAGCGCACGTGCTTGTGCCAAATAGCCGTCCATGCTTGATTCAAGTTCTTTGATGGCCTATAGGTGGAGAGATAGCTAGTTTAGGAAAAAGAGCTTGCACTTCCGCAACAAAAGTGATTGAAAAGAGACAACAAAAACCARAGCAAAAGACTATAGTGCGATAAGCAATGCACTAACCGGGACATAAGCCTCCTTCTCAGTGAGTGCAACTCTCCTGGCCTCTTCGAGTCTTTCTTTTTCTTTGGTAACTTGAATTTCAGCTGTCTGACGTGCTTGTACAATTTCGTTTGTATTTTCATCCCTCTCAATCGATGCTTGAAGTGTATTATAAGCAGTTTCATAATCTCTGCAGTAGTCTCGAATATTTACAACGTCATTTCTAAAAGCCTCCCATTTTAATAATGGGACAAAAAGCTTGTTCTTTCCAAATCGGTCAAAACCTGGTTTGTTCAGGAAAGCCAACCTGCGTTTTGCAACTAAAAAAAGTGYACTATGTTAAGTAAAGGAAAGCTTTAGCTTCAAATATTTCAAAAACGTACATCTTCGAAGCTCTGCAGCATCGTCCCTGCCTTGTGTCAATGTGACAATGAAATTAAGAACKTCTACAGCCATAGGTAAGTCATTCGCCCAGAGACGGTCCTCAGCCAATCGACTAAAGATTTTGATTAGCTCCAGTGGATATTTGTTTATAGCGCTGGTTTCAAGACTTTGCTTTGTAAGGTAAGACTGCTGCACTTGCCCATTTGAGCCAAGTCCAACTAAAGCTATAGATGGAAAAAATGATCTTATAAATGATCTGATAAAATGAATTTATAAGGTGCCACCGGATTCAGGGGATGTAAYATTCATTAAAACTTAAAACCTGGATATACAAACACAGATGTCGCATGTCCAGAGGTATTAGCTGATTGGTTGAAAATACTCAACTCTGCCCAGCAGTGCCCCTTGGTCCGGTACTTCCTTGTTGTCTTGGTAACGTACTTTTCTTCTTACACTGACAAACTTTCGTATGACTACGAGTAAAGGTGCAGCTTGTTGAGCATTCAATMCCCAATCCTCCTTGTCCTCCAGCTCCGCCTGTTGAKAAAGATAAAGTACCCGCTAATATGAAATCATTGTTTTAGTGATGCTAAACACGCGCTCTTGTATCTATTTCAAAGAAGTGCAGTGGTGTGCCTCCCACAAACGGTACAGGGCGGCCTCGAAGTTTGGAGTATCGTACTCAAAACCGATGCMATGTAAGTTGGCCTTACGTGGAGTTTAAAGCTATTTATTCATTTCAAAGGTTCTTAATCCCATAAGAAAGACATGATGTCATTTCCTGCATCATTTGCCTGAAGCTTGAAAAATAACTGAATTTCTCTAAGAAACCATTTCAAATTGAATTTTAACGGGTACCAAATACAAGAACATTCACTTAGTCTACGACACCAAAGTAACGTGAAAGTCTTTGGCCCGCTATTCCGAAGATAATGCCAAGTTACAGCCGTAAATCGAAATTGTGAAACAAGTGTACAAACCAGCCCCTCCTAATCCATTTGCTGATGCCTGCCCTCCATTCCCACGGCAAGTCTTTAGCTCAATATTTCCATGCAGGTTCTTTATGTTAATTGTCTGATGACCAGCGTTACCGCCATTGCCTATTGAGAAAGAAGTCAATGCATCACGGAATCCAATAAATTAATTTGATTGGMCACTTCGAAACAAAGCAGATGAAATGACTTAATTACGATATATAGATATACTCACACAGGTTTAAACGATGAATTGAATCACCAAAGCTAGGCCTCAAAGGAATATTGAGTGCTTTTGAATCGTATTTACGCACATATGTTCTTTTAGACCGCGAAACATTCAGCAAGACATTGGGTTGATATAATCACCAAATTTAATAATAAGAATGTTTTATATAATCTAACCTGATTTTCCAGCATATCCACCATTAAAACCAGTTCCTCCAGTCTTCCCTTTTAATCCATTGATTCTTTTGTTGCAATCCAAATTACTAGGTCCGCCCGTTGCGGCGCCTTGACAATTTGACAATGTCCTATCAGGTTGCTGAAGTCATATATATATATAAAAACGACTCATTTTATGCTCTAAAGATAACTCTCGCTCCAAACGTATAATTACCCTATGAGAACTGGGCGTCCCGGCCTTTCCAGTCCTGCCATCCTGACCTCTATTACCATGGCCACCACTTGATTCAATGATAATATGACCAGATGCTGTGTCGGCGTAGATTTCAACTAATAATATTATCGAAAAATTCTTAATAACAGCCATTCAACGCTTCCACTTCAAGATTAAAAAAATTATATACATAATATTCAGGCGTTATCATTAGAGAAGAGTGCATGCACTAAATCCGTGAGTAATCATGCTACTAATATAAATGTTAAATAAGACAATGGAAAGCAAAGGAATTGCTGTTATGCAGCACCATCAAACAATTGCCTCAGAGAAACATTCATTCGTTTGCCAAACTTTTTCTGACTATATATGGTAATCTTACCTTATAAGGAAGTACGATAGAAAGTTTTTTTCACGTTTTGTCCACCGTTTAGTGCTTTAAGATGGCTAAAACGTACAGAATTTGCAGAGAAATCGCTTTTCAACATGTCGGCCATTATAATTTTGTCCTAGTCCCCTCCCATCCTTGAAAATGAGGAATCCCACAAAAGACACAGGTAGCCTGCGCGAATGTTAGGCAATTGTTTGATACGGCACTCTGTACATTAATAATGCGCCGATTTCATAAAAAGTGTCTGTTAACAGTAAAAGACAACAGGTCAAACAAACAAGAGTGACGTTACATAATACTTTGTTTACAAAGGTCAAAACAACAGCTGGTCTGAAAGTTTTTGACATTTAATGGAGTATTTCACACACGTACGTAATTCATGACTTTTTGAAAATACACTGGAAATCCGCCGTATTTAAGATGCCTTATTACAAACCTGTAGGCCCGTCGACTCCATGCTTCCCGTCATTCCCATCTTCACCAGCGCTTAACGTGGGGTTAGTTTGGGTCAAATCGGGAGCTCTGAGATCAAGCTTACTTCCTTGAAGAAAGGACACTTTACGACTGAACATCGCTAGACGTTTTAAGCCTCGCAATTTGACTGGAGTCTGTACATTAGAATTATAATATCRTTTAAACATCACGTCAGAGTGAAGTCATCCAAAAACAAACAACAACAACAACAACAATGACAATGCGATTAGAGAATAATAAATTGTGTTGGTGTATAGTATTCATTTAAGTCATTGCAGTTTTTTTGTGAAATAGGTAGTAGCTAGACTACGAGCTATAATAGTAGCCGACCTTTTTCACTGTTAAAACTAAGAGTATTACGCACTAACATTTATTTAGTGTTTCAGTTTTGGTATAGTAGAGCAGTATAGCGACTTAATATCTGTTTCATGAAATGCAAGTGCGTTTATGTATGACCTAATTATGGGCCTTGAACATTAATCTAGAAAAATATATTCATATACCACACCTTCACCGCTACTTAAAAAATTACTTTCCTTAACATAAATAGTATCAGCAAGAACTTCAAGGTTAATGTTATTGGGGCTGTCCTGGGTGTCGCCAAAGTTTACTCCTTCCTTTGCTCTGAGATGTTCTTGTACGAACTCCATGTGCACATTTCGTCCAATCACTTGATAGCGCTCTGTTGGTAGATATTWGTTAAGATGGATATTAGCTAAGAAACGGTTTGGTATCTGCTAGATTTAATTTGAACCTGCATTTACAACCACTTATAAAATAGCTTGATATTTTTGCTTTCAAGGTATGGAAGTTCCATAACTTAGCGCCTCCCAATACATCACCAATATCCACCTAATCCACTTCCCCCTTTTCATTGTTGAAAATGGTCAGGAAACATTGAATCAGGGAAGGGAGTTTGACTTAAAAAAACRCGGTGTTACCATTATTAGCAAGAACAAGTCATGGAACTCAAGTTTGAAAGAAACTCATAATAAAATCAAAGAAGATCTTAAATCCTGAGCTCTACCTTTTGCTTTTAGGATTTCTTTAGAAATGGTTGGCTCAAAGCTTTCCAATATATCTTTCTTACAATTAGACTTTAAGTGTTCCTATCCTAATGCCATYTATATTCTACATTCTCATGTTTCTCTCACTCAGAGAKATTTCTGATGCTGATATCTGTAATGTTGGTTTTACCTGAAAGGATGCATCCATAAAACTCTGTTCTCATTGAGATATGTGCGTACCATTCGATTGGCTTTATCTCTACATATCGAGCTGTGATTGGTGCTGCCAGGGTATGAGTGACAACGGAGGTGTGATCAGTATTACCATTGAAAATCTATAAAATGAAATGATTAACATTAAAATAACCGATCTTGGCTTCAATTGAGTCATTCCTACCGAAAAAATGCCATTGAAAATTATATGAAAACAGGAAACTTRTTTGTAGCATACCTTATCGACGCCACTAACTTCTTGATAAGTTTGGAATGCAGGACGTGATCCCCCAGCACTGTATCTGAGCTTGAATTTAGTGACCCATTGTCGCCCGTCTTGYCTTCCYTGTGTGGCAAACTTCGTAAGTTTCACATTTCTAAGAAAATCCACCTGGAACCACTGATTTAGATCCTCAGTTTTTGACGACCATGATCCTTTTTTGCCTCTTCCTGCGACAAAATTAAGTCTGGCATTGTCAGGAGCATGGTATTTGTCCCACTGCGAAGAAGCGGATATTTGCTGTCTGGTTATGCGACCACTTTCCATGCCAAGCGGGTATTCACCAGAGCACTCTGACAAAGGAAACCATTAAGCAAATTATTAACAACAGCCGTAATGTAGATTTGAGAAGTAATGGTCACATGGTTCAGCCATCGGAATTTTATTTGGTCCACAGCCTTATGCCAAAGCAMAGCAAAATCAAAGCTCGACCATAGACGCGACCAGCGAATTCTTTAAGTGACTTTTAGCAGAATGGCAGGCAAAGGCGTCACACCTGTCCTAACACCCTAGGCGTAGTGAGACACTGAGAAAGTAAAAAGTCGAACCTAAGTCGTACAAGGTGATCATCCGTTCTGACAGTCTAACCAACATCTTAACACAGTTAACCACTAGGTCATCATATTTACACTATCATAACTCCATCACTATTTACGATATTATACTCTACAACCTTATATATTTACCTGCTGCAAGTGTTACAAAAGAAGGCGTTTCATACCAATTCATTGCAGGAGTTTGTGCTTGCYCGSTTGCAGGCTCATTCCCCTCTCTCAAAAAGACGCATCCATCTACAAGTATACAAAAGTGGCAACAATTTCTTAGCTTGKCAGTTYATTGTCATAATCGAAACCTCATCTATGTTCAATGCATTACAAACCTGTCCCCATGMATGTTGGACGTATTAAAGAAGCTAAAGAATGATGTTTTGTTTAACATAAAAATCCAATTGCTYATTGTCAATGGGAASACAAMAGGCTATTACCGGATAAAAGWTTTTTTYAATGTTTATTTTTGAAACYYATCTTTGGATTTCGAATTATTTCGRCCTGTTCACACAAAGTTAGAATTAATCATAGAAATCATTCAAACCAAAACTAAAAGGAATCGAAAAATTTCTCATTATCACACATTTCCGCAGTTCTACTATTTTATTTTATTTTATAATTCAAAAATCAAGCGATTGGTGTGAAAACCTGTGTCTTAAGCGGTGTYAATCTTGTGAACCTGTTTGTTGACTTGGTGTCTATTGTTATGACTAACAGGTACCAAATGCTGGGCTTGTTGATCGAAGTCATTAAAAATGCGCACATTTATTTAAATCTCTTTTTTGTCAATAGCCAAGGGATGAAATGACGAGAGAAAATTAAAAAAAAAATTATATATATAATACAGACAAATTCTAAGTAAAAACAAACATTTCTTTAAGGTCTTTCTAAAGTTTTAGATGTTTTTGATCTATGGATCATCTTAAGTTTTTATCAACAACACGTATTTTCTTTCTTAAAACCAGTCTGAAGTGATACCTAAWATTATTAGTTAAAATGTGTCAAAAAGTAGTCTTAATCTGAAATAAGACGTGCCTTGCGCAAACATAAAGAACTAGAAGTGTTTTTTTTTCTTGTTTTGTTTTGTTGTTTTGTTTTTCATTTACTTACTTTTAACTTCTATTAAGCTTTTTCTATTAATAAAAAATATACATTTACCTTGTCCAAAACCAAGATCCAGAATGGATATGAAAACAAGCGTTGACAGAATGAAATGATTCATTGCTAATCGACTTATTGGCACAGTGTTTACTAGGAAGAGACGTGCACTGTACAAAATCACAGCACTCTAAGATGGCAGTGTGAATCAAGTCAATGAATAATATCTATTATGACGTTGGTGAAAAGCCATGGCTATTGTTTTGATTTCCATATACGGTATKGGGAGAGCTTCATGGTTGTTTATTCACAAACAAAGGTGTTTATTGTGGCGAAAGTGTATTCTGGYAAAGTTTATGTGGTGTAACGTCTCGCTTGTCAAGGCCAACAAAAGTGTTATCTGGCAGAACTGTATTTTAACTGATTCACCCGTAGCTATATTGTCCGGCTTACATTCTCTAAAAGAGCAAAGCAACGAGGTCYGAAAGATTTCGCTGCTTTTTTGTCTTTTCTTCCTAGTTTGTTTGTGCCTCTTAATCCTTTTTTCTTCCGTTCAAATGTAAAAAAGAAAATATATGGAAAATAATACATTAAGAAAATATCAGTAAAAATGACATCAAGAATTAGGTGACCGCAAAAGGAAAAGGTTTGATCTTAAAGAGAGTAGTATTCCATGTTGCTCTACACTTAATCAAAAAGATCAGTTTATAAATTTCCCAAGTTAAGCAGTTACTTACTGAGAGAAAAAAGAAAAGAAAAGGAGATCAAAAACAGAACGGGTTGAGCGGTCAAAACGTATTCAATTAAGCTATTGAAGCAGGTTGTTTTTTTGTTTAAAGCAGGCAAACAAAATCCTGGCTTATTTTTGTACTTGTTGCTTTTCAGATAAGGAAAATTTTAGAGAAGTGTAACATGGATATACCAATAAGATGCCAATACCAATAAATATTTTACTTTATTAATGACTTCCAAAACTATAAAATATTTTTTTACCACTTGTATATTATTATCAGTCAACGTTTCTGCTGTAAGTGCCATTCCAAAAAAATGAAAAGGCCACAAGTCCATGATTGTCAGTGCCATTTATTTCACTTTGTCAATCACTTCAACACTACATTCCTTTATATTTAAGACGTTTTTTGCTCTAACCGTTAAGCTTCTCTCGTACGATCAGCCTTTTGTATTTTTGTGAGTGATGTTTAGAGCTTGATGTTTTAAAGAAAGACGCCCTTTATGAAGACTCCAATATGATGAATGCCTTCTCTTTTCTTTTCTTGGGTGCTGCATTTGCATAATCTGCTCCTGTTAGATTATCAGTGCCCCAGTACTTGTTTCTGCTGTAAGTGCCATTCAAAACGCCACAAGGTATTCTTATCACCTATTTGTCTTGACAATTTATTATCATTACAATCAAAATATAATTACATGGCTTCCAGTGACCTGCAAGTAGTTAAAACTATTCCATGGCAGGCCGCTCTCTATTACAAATACAAATAAAAGAAAAAAGAACTATCATCACATTTTATCTATTTAGGTAACGTTCATTTTTATCATGAGGGAGGGGGAAGGGAATGAACTGGTGGTTTTGGAACCTTTCTTGAAAAAAAAAGACACGACCCCCTAGTTGGATACAATTTTTTCAAATGACCCAACCTTTGACCATGTCCTTTTGACACGACCCCTACTCTCTTGATTCTTACGAAATATGTTATATTGAATATACAAGTACAATAGTACAATAATTTTGCATGCCCCTCCTTTTACATGCATGTTTTGTTTGGGTGGACACTCCTCAAAACAACCAGCCACCACCCCCTGCCGATAAAAAAAAAATGGACGGTCCCTTATTTTATTTACTTGTTTTAGTGAGCTTTTAAAAACACTTTGCGGCGTTTTGACCAGTTTCATTTTTAACCTTTATTAAGTTTTATTTATTTCTCCTTCTTCTTTTATGGCAATGAGACAAATGAATCTTTATCTACCTTTATGTCCCTTTTCTGTGAGAGGTATTCAAAGGTCGGTGAGTCAAAGTAAGACGCGATTTCAGGTGTGCTCCAACATGATTCACGTCGTCTCTTTTCTTTGCTTCAGCACTGCATCTTGGATCATTGGGAGATGAGGGATAGGCGTCACTCCAGTACATAAAATAAAACCAAACATTCATCTTGGTGTAGATGGATATCTGTGAAAATAAAATTTAACTAGTACATCTAAGGGAACATTAATAATATAGTTCAGAGCATCAATTATAAGAAAATCAACAAAATTAATTAAACGCACATCGAAGTCTCTACAATTCTTATCTGGTAGCGGTGAGCCACCACATTCAGCATTCTCATTAATGGGTATTTCCATGTCGTAAGTTCCAAATAAACTCTGGCATTCTGCAGCTCCAATGAGAGCATCGTTACATGGAGTGTCACTGAGGAAGTTACAGCACATTGCTTCAAGGCGAGGGTCATCCATGGTCATGCAAAATGAAGAACCGACTAAAATGAAATAGTAAAACCCAGTTAGAACTTGTTCCAGTATCTGAAATCTAAAGCCCTGTCCACATATTACAATAAAAGGTATTCGGCCACAAAACTTACGGTTCCCTTCCCTTGAATCTTGATTACACCTGTCTGTGTTTGTTATCGCAAATCGGTTGAATACAAGTTTTCGCCAGGAAGTATCAATAGACAGCTTCTGACGAAATTGTTTGATGTTTCCAGAACCATCTTTAAAATATGAAGCGCTTCCATGTCTCACTTTTAAGTGGACCATAGCTGGCATGTTATTGTCTTCTTGGGTGTTGTCTCCATACAGCTCAACATACATCTAAAAAGATTTGAATGTTAAAAAAATGTTCACCACTATAAGATAAATTAAGAAAAATGAAATTAACAAGAAAAATATGAAGACTTTACAAACAGTATCGCTCTACTCCAGGAAAGTGAAAAGAGCCGATATGAGGAATACACTAGAAGTACAGACAGAATTCATGAGAATTTATCCTTACCTTTAGAAGACGGACATTGTAGCACCTTTCACAGCTTTCTTCGATACCTAAATGTAATCTTGCCTTACCTCGATGAAGATCTTCAAAAAGCTAAAAAATAAGTCTGATAAGTCATTGTTTGGAGTTTGGAGTTTGGCAGCCAAAGGACCAAATGAATGTGTTGTTGTTTGTGCATTGTAGATTTGCACTAATACAATCTCAGCTTTTCCTACTTACTGCAGGGTTATTAATGCTATCAAATTGCCACTTATGAACGTTATCAGTAAAAACAAATCTGGTGAAACACTGCCTTCCTTTGCTATCGAGGTCATCTAATTCCTGGAGAGCATTATTTAGATGTACAACTCCTTGTAGCTGTCCATTACCAGCAGCTGCTTCGCTCGCAGTCCGCTCAAAAGAAGCCAGCCTTTGAGTTTCATCCCATAGTGAACGGAACTCGAAACTTTTGTAAAACAAGTACAGGTTCTTTGAGAAACTGGCTTCCATCTTCTGATAAGACGTCAAGAGATTGTCAAGAAACATCTGCTGGACGCGATCTTCCAGAGGAGAATCTAGAAAAGAAGTGAAGGAGCAAAAAATCTGGCTTCCGACGAATGTAATGATAAATATAATGGATTAAAAAAAAAATAATAAACAAACCTCCAACGTTTCGTAGCATCTCAAGCTCACTTGCCGTCTCTTCCAAATTTGGTATGTCAAAGTTGTATCCACCAATCTCATTGTCTAAATCGATGACCTTTGCAATCAGGTCGATCCTTGCAGCTCCTGCAATAAAGAACCGCTCGACCTGCTCTTTAAACTTTGCAACTTCGCTTGGTGGCAGGCTCTCTTCTAATAGGCATACGAGATCTGCTATGAGGCCCTCCTTATTCATTTCCAGGTTAGCCTTCAAACAAAACATATCTAAGCAGTGTTGATTTTTTTAAGTTTTTCTCTTATTCTTAACATCATGCATGTTACCTGCATCATTTCTGGCACTGATCCAACGTCCATTTGGTCAAAATCAAGATCACTAGAATCCTCCAGCTTCTGGTATTCCTGGCCAAAAGTAAGCCATTTTGTAAGATGACCCAGATTGTCCTGTAAGGTTCCGGCGTCGCACTGTGTAGCAAAGTGTTCAGCTGTTTCAATAGCAGCACCAAGAGCTCCGAATGGATCCTTTCCTGCGACAGCACCGACAAACCCAGTAACGCCTTGAAGTAATGCAAACATGTCTTCCTGGGTGAATTGTGCTTGATCATTTAACTGGGTCAGGAGCTGATTTGCTTGTGCCAAATAGCCGTCCATGGTTGATTCAAGATGTTTAATGGCCTATAAGAAGAGTGGTATCTAATTTTTCTCGCATCGCTTATATACATTATATAATCATAAATAAAACACTTCCTATGATATTAAACTAGACATGACAATGAGGAACGTTCTTTAAATGCTTAATTGTTGTCTTAATTAGTCCATTATTAATACAACAACTTTTTTGTCTCTAACTTAGACATATCCATTCAAATGAAGATTAGATTGGATTAGGATGAAGATGTCAACGATAAAGTGCCTAATAGGATATATTCTTAAGTCTAGCTATTATTTTGAGGCAAAAGATGAAATTGCTATTTGAAAGACACTAACCGGAACATAAGCCTCCTTCTCAGTGAGTGCAACTCTCCTGGCCTCTTCGAGTCTTTCTTTTTCTTTGGTAACTTGAATTTCAGCTGTCTGACGTGCTTGCACAATTTCATTTGTATTTTCATCTCTCTCAATTGATGCTTGAAGTGTATTATAAGCAATTTCATAATCTCTGCAGTAATCTCGAATATTTGCAACGTAATTTCTAAAAGCCTCCCATTTCAACAATGGAGCAAAAAGTTTATTCCTTCCAAATCGGTCAAAACCTGGTTTGTTCAGGAAAGCCAACCTGCGTTTTGCAACTGCAGAAAAAAAAGTTGTTCAAAAACGAAATACTTTGTCAACGGTTAACATAGCCAGAAACATACATTTTCTAAGCTCAACAGCATCGTCCCTGCCTTGTGTCAAGGTGAAAATGAAATTAAGAACCGCTTCTGCCATAGGCAAATCATTCGCCCAGAGACGGTCCTCTGCCAATCGACTCAAAATGTTGATTAATGCCAAAGGATATTTTCTTATATCGCTTGTTTCAAGGCTATGTTTTGTAAGATAAGACTGGTCAACTTGTCCATTCGAGCCAGGGCCAACCAAAGCTATAGAGAAATTGTCATGAGCTATTAGTCCAATGAGCATCGAACTATTGGGTCACATGATGGGCCTTTATATCCCGATAAATCACTGATGTTTTATTAATCAGTTCTATATCAGATCAGAACTGATGTTTTATTAATCAGTTCTATATCAGATATATAGAACTGATGTTTTATTAATCAGTTCTATATGAGATATAAAGAACCGATGTTCAATGTCATCAGCGCTTTATCGCAACCCAACACTAGCAAAGGTCTCAGTTTTAATGTTTTGTTTTAAATCAGTTTGAATCAATGTGCAGACATGCAGTATAGCATAGATAAAAATTCTTTCAATTGTGGCAGCTGCACATGCTCAGTAGAAGTTTAATATGCATAATCACTGTTTTCGCATTTTTTAGCTTTTTTTCTGAAATGATAACAATTTCCGGATGTGTGAGTTCTAGAAGTAGTATAAAGAACTCAATAGTGTGTTTTATCGGGACTAAAGATCCTCGCTGTCGGCTCGTATCTTTATCACCCGATTATACACTACATGTAAATACCGATAGATTCAGTATAAGTAATGCTCACTCATTCTCAAATGTTGTGCCTAAAAATTAAAAATCTAATAGACAAATAGAAATGACACTTGTACAATCTTTTAAATGGTTAAAAATACTCAACTGCGCCCATCATTGCCCTTTGGTCCGGTATATCCTTGTTGTCTTGGTAAGCTGTTTTTCTTCTTACACTTAGGAAATGGTCTAAACATACCATTAGGAATATACTTTGTTGTGCATTCAATCCCATATCCTCCTTGTCCTCCAGCTCCCCCTGAAAATGGATTTAACTTGTTTTAGGAATTGTTTCCATTCCAAATAAGTGAAGTTGTGTGCCTCCCACAAACGGTCCTTAGCGGGCTCTACGTTTGGAGTGTCGTAATCAAGATCGATTCCGTGAAAGTTCAGTATAAGTTGGCCTTACGTAGAGTTTTAGGAAATTGTGAAACGAGTTTACAAACCAGGTCCTCCTAATCCATTTACTGATGCCTGCCCTCCATTCCCACGGCAAGTCTTTAGCTCAATATTTCCATGCAGATTGTTTATGTTAATTGTCTGATGACCAGCGTTACCGCCATTGCCTATTGAGAAACAAGTCAATACATCACGGAATCCAATAAATTAATTTTATCGGACAATTCGAAACAACCCAGATAAAATGACTTAATTACGATACTATATATATAATACATTTATATATAAAAATTTTAAGTAATATATATATTATGCATGTTGTTTTAGACTGTGAAGTAATTATCCATGACATTGAGTTTTACTAATATGGATGTTTTTATAGTCTATAATCTTACCTGATTTTCCAGCATATCCACCATCATAACCAGCTACTCCAGTCTCTCCTCTCAATCCATTGATTCTTACCTTGCAATTCAAAGTAGTGATTGTGCCTGTGATGGCTTTTCGACATTGTATTACTTTCCTATTAGGTTGCTGAAAGTCATATATAAAAAAGGATTCATTTAACGCCCTCAAAGCATCGCTCCAATCGTATATAATTACCCTATGTGTACTGGGCGTTCCAGCCTTTCCATTTCTGCCATTTTGACCTCTATTACCATGACCTCCACTTGATTCAATGTTAATGTGACCAGATGCTGTGTCCGCGTAAATTTCAACTGATAATTCAATTAAAAAATCTTAAGAATAGCCATTCAACGCTGTGCGTTCAAGGACCTTTGTGCAATTTTCTCACATAAGAAAACCCTCTATCTTTGGTTTTTGAACAAACTGGAAGGCAACTTTCAACAAGTGATCAATCATAACAAAAAATAAACGATCGCAAAGCTCCTTTAAATTAAAAACAAAAAACAAAATAAACAAGCACCAACAATTAGATCAGAGTTCACGCATAAAATCCGTAAGTTATCATACTATATATGGTTAGCTGGACAATGTTAAGCAAAGGAATTGTCAAAATACAGCACGCTTATTTTGCATTACTTTATACGAATTATTTTATACATTCACTCAGCAAATATATCCCGAGACACACATTAAGAATGATGTCACGTAATATTACACTCACAAAGGGCGTGACAACAGTCTAAATGTCACAAACGTGTATGTAATTCAAAAAGACATTCGAAATCCGCCGTTTGAACCAGAGATTTTAACATACCTGTAGGCCCGTCGACTCCATGCTTCCCGTCGTTTCCATCTTCACCAGCGCTTAACGTTGGGTCAGTTTGGGACAGCGCGGGAGCTCTGAGATCAAGCTTACTTCCTGGAAGAAAGGACACTTTACGACTGAACACCGCTAGACGTTTTAAGCCTCGCAATTTGACTAGAGTCTGTTGATGGAAATATTGATAATTGTTCAGACAACATGTTAGAGTGAAGTCATCAAAGAAACAATTTGAATGAATGCAATTAGTTACAGTTACTTTTAAAAATTACTTTCCTTGACATAAATAGTATCAGCAAGAACTTCAAGGTTAATGTTGTTGGGGCTGTCCTGCGTGTCGTCTAAGTACAATCCTTTCTTTGCTCTGAGATGTTCTTCTACAAACTCCATGTGCACATTTCGGCCAATTACTTGATAGCGGTCTGTTGATAGATGTAAGTTAGGACAGGGTTTTGACACCTACTAGATTCAATGTACACCTGAACTTACAATCACCAATAAAATGGTTTTATATCCTGACATAATTTTTCACAAATGACCAATATGCATGTGCTCTCTTCTCAAACTCCCTTGCCTGATTCAATGTTTTCCTAACCAAATTCAAGGTGTCGCTTGCGCTCCATTCTAACAATGAAAAGGGGAAGGGGACTAGAAGGATACCGGTGATGTATTGGAAGACGCCAAGGTATGGAACTGATTTCACATGAAAGGACGAATAGAAGACTCAAAAATCTCCAATATTACTTTCTTGCATTTTGACTTAACTATTCCTATCCTAATGCCATTTATATTCAACATTCTCATTTTCTCTCATTCAGAGAGATCTCTAATTCTTATATCTGTAATGTTGGTTGTACCTGAAAGAACGCATCCATAGAACTCTGTTCTCATTGAGATATGCTCGTACCATTCGATTGGCTTTATCTCTACATATCGAGCTGTGATTGGTGCTGCCAGGGTATGAGTGACAACGGAGGTGTGATCAGTATTACCATTGAAAATCTATAAAATGAAATGATTATCATTAAAATAACCGATCTTGGCTTCAATTGAGGCATTCCAACCGAATAAATGCCATTGAAAATCATATGAAAACAGGAAACTTGTTTGTAGCATACCTTATCGACGCCACTAACTTCTTGATAAGTTTGGAATGCAGGACGTGAACCCCCAGCACTGTATCTGAGCTTGAATTTAGTTACCCACTGTCGCTCGTCTTGTCTTCCCTGTGTGGCAAACTTCGTAAGTTTCACATTTCTAAGAAAATCCACCTGGAACCACTGATTTAGATCCTCAGTTCTTGACGACCATGATCCTTTTTTGCCTCTTCCTGCGATAAAATTAAGTCTGGCATTGTCAGGAGCATGGTATTTGTCCCACTGCGAAGAAGCTGATAGTTGCTGCCTTGTGATGCGACCACTCTGCATGCCAAGAGCGTGTTCACCCGTGCACTCTGAACACAGAAGGAACCATTTTCCAAAATTATTAAGAGTTATCGTAATATCGATGTGAGAATTGTCACGTTAATCCCCAAAATGTTTTTGTGCCCACAGCCTTATGCCAAAGAAAAGCAAAATAAACGTTTCGACCATAGTCGGACGGACCTCTTTAATTGACTTTTACCAGTAGAATAGCAGGGGTGAGCGACACTCCTGTCATAACTTCACCCACATTATCTATATATATACTGGGGCGTAATAAGGTTCTGAAAAGCAAAGAGTCTTGCATAACGTAATCATCCGTTGGAGTCGAACCAATACCTTTACCGCTAGACCATCACATTAACACTATCATAATACCATCACTATTTATGATATTATGCTCTACAACCTTATATATTTACCTGCTGCAAGTGTTACAAAAGAAGGCGTTTCATACCAATTCATAGCGGGAGCTTGAGCCTGCTCGCTTGAAGGCTCATTGCCCTCTCTCAAAAAGACGCATCCATCTATGAGTATACAAAAGTGACAGCAATGTCTTAGCTTGGGAAGTCATTGTCATAACGGAAACCTCAGCTATGTCCAAAATACACTATTCACAAATCAAGCGATTGGTGTTGTCCAAATCGATGTCAGTCCTGTGAACCTGTTTGTTGACTTTGTATCTATTGTCATGTCTAACAGGTACTAATTGCTGGGCTTTTTGATTGAAATAATTACAAATGTATACATTTGTTGAAATATTTTTTTCCCAATAGTCAAGTTAAATGACGAAAAAAAATTCTAAAAGACATAAAGCCAAATTCCAAGTAACGTTTCCTGAAAACATGCAACTGTTTTTGCACCTGTGGATCACTTTAAGTTTCTATCAACGTAACAACATGTTATATTCTTACTTAAAACCTGTCTGAAGCAAAACCTAAAACTCTTCCTTAATATAATAAGTTTAATCTAAACAAAGTTTTGCCTTGAGCATGAATAAGGAACTACAAGTTTTTTCTTCTTTTTTATATTTACTTATTTAGTAAGAAAAAATGTATTTACCTTCACCAAAACCAAGATCCAGAACGGATATGAAAAGAAGCGTTGATAGAATTAAATGATTCATTGCTAATCAGCTTTTTGGAGGAGTGTTTACTAGGAAGAGAGGCTCACAGTAAACAATCATAACATCCTAAGATGAAAGTCACGAATCAAGTCACGAATAGCATCTGCAGTGACGTTGGTGAAAAGCCATGGCTATTGTTTAGATTTCCATATACGGTATTGAGAGAGCTTCATGGTTGTCCAGTCACTAACAAAGGTGTTATTGTGGCGAAAGTGTATTTCAGCCAAGACACCTGTAGATATCGGGTGGTTTTCATCAAACCGTTAAATAAGATACCAATACCAATAAATATTTTACTTTATTAATGACTTCAAAAACTATAAAAGATTTTTTTACCACTAGTATATTATCATCAGTCAACGTTTCTGCTGTAAGTGCCATTCAAAAAAAAATGAAAAGGCCACAAGTCCACATTATGGGACAATTGAAAGCCATCTTTTCATAAGAGAATATTTCCAACGTTATTAACAAATTATGAAGATACACTACGCTTGTCATCATGAACAAAGGTGCTGGTGTTGCAAAGCATATTTAAAATATTTGACTTGTTAAAATCAGCTGGAGACATTCTCTTGAAAAATTCCTTTAAAAATAAAGCATTTATAGACGTTTGACCTGAATGGCAACCGTAAAACACAATTTACTTGAAACAATTCATGTCTAACTCTGCCGTTCGAGTTTAGATGTTTGCAACTAAAGAAGAACTATATGTTTTACAAAAGAAACCATCACTAGTTTTACAAAAGAAAACATACATAAAAGATTTATGGACTTGGTTTTGATTCCACTATAACGATAAAACCCTTCCAAATCGCTTCTTTAATTAAAAAGGTTATGTTTTTAGCATCTACTTTACCGTGATGGACTATGCCAAGGGCTTCTGAATCAAATTGTTTCATCGACTTTTTTAAGCAAG